TTTAAGAGGGGGAAACAAAATTCACTAAATTAACTCCTCTGATATCCTTGGAATGAAGAGGCTATAAAAGGGAAGATTAATTCTTTACGTACTTCCAAAACTGCTGTTATTATTATAATTTATTTGTTCTGCTGTAGCATGAACCAGGTGGTTCTAGGCACAGAACTGATGCGGTACAAAAAGGTGGTCCCAGCCCCTGCTGCACTCAAACCTGCAGGAAGATTGGGAATAGCATGAGAAGCAGAAAGGCAAAGGAAAAGGTTTTGTGCTCCTTAGAGTTTTACATACGTGAATAGCTAAATTTTTTTACAACTACCTTAAGTTTCTCCTTAATGAATACATCATACCCAAGTCTAGTTATCAAACCAATCCTATTTCAAGTGGCAAAAATACTAACTTTTTAAAAATAGTCTGTACTGTACTACTATTCCTAAATACTAAATCTATGTCATCAATAATTATTACCATTTTAATTGCCTAGTTAGCAGATATTATTCATGCATACACTTCAACATGCGTTACACAGCATGAAGTAAACATGGCAAGGAGAGATTAGTTATCTCAAGACAACTTTGATAAATAAATTTTGATTCTCCTATTAATATACTTTAGAAAGACAATTATATAAGGCCAAATTACTTACACTGCTCACTCTACTGATAATTAGCACCAGAGGGGAAGGAGTATGAGTTACCCGTTATTTCCAATTTCTACTGTTTGCTTAGTAGTGCAACCAGCAAGAACCTTATAATTCACAGCAAAATCCTGCTTCTTTTCCCTTTGTTTATTCTAAGAACATATCAATGAAAGAGAATTTCCAACTGTGTTAGTCTATCAGGAGAGAGCTTGGATCAAGCTGGTGTTTGTTTATGCTGTATACCTGCACTGGTATCAAGCAGTGTTAATTTCTTCTAATCTTATGGGGTGGAGGAAATGATTTTTCATTTTGTCTTGGTGCCATCAGGTGAATGTCATATTTACGGAACTAGTTTTGGTACCCCCTTAGGATTTAGATATATTTTTAACTTGCCCTTATAAAAAACCCTTCTATATTACCTCAGGATTATAAAGGTATTGTGGAATTCCAAGATCCCCACCTCTCTCCAGCAAGGACAGAGATGCTCAAATGCTTAAAATTAAGCATGTGAACAAACATTTAGCTTGTTTGAGAGCCTCAGAACATGCATCACAAAAGGGAGACATAGTAGGTCAGTACCTCTACTGTTGCAACAGCTTTGGGAACCAGGTGGAGGGAATTTCATTACAGTAATGCAGTTTGCTTCCCTACTCCCTATCCACTCACATCCTTCTAGATCAAGGACATGTCTACATAGCTCTCCAGGCCAGATGAAAGTGCATTCTTCCCATGCTCCAACCTGACTAGAAGCTATGTATATTTATTTAATGTACTTTTGAGCTTCATGAACAAGCCCTGCTGAAAGGTTCAGTGTATTAGCTTGGGCTTCATGCCTAATTTACAGAGTTTGCATCTAGCTGAAAAATAGAGAAACATTAAGTATTCTCTGTCTAGAGAAGCACTAAATACACGCATGCAAACTACAGAAGCCTGTGGTTATAACCATGCCCTTTCTTACTTTATAGTAATTGTAGAGGGGTTATGAACTTCACAGAAATATTACTAACTTCAGTAAAGTTTTCTTAGCTTACAAACTACTTCTAGTTTACACCCTGCTAAAAGACTTGCTTGTAACTCTCAGTCAGCAAGTGCAAGCAGTCATCTGAAAAGCCAGAGGATTTCTTTCGGCCTTTCACGATGGCATTGTTTTTGTAGCCGCTTAAAAACTTGTTTCTCAAATTTAACTCTCACGTGCAGAGGTATCAATGTAAGGATGTTTTTGCACTACTGTGTCAAAAGCTTTTGTAAACTCTACAGAGACATCATACCAAGATGAAGTCTCCTGTGGTAAGGCCACTGCCTTATCAACTTTGCAAAATGAACTGCAGCCTGCATTAGCAGGATCTTTTGAAAAGAGATCAGCAAAAATATCACAAAAACTACTTTTGATTGAAGCATGAAAAGGAGAGATATAGGAACTGATGGAGCTATCCACAACAGACCACTGGTATTCATCCAAGACTACTGCAAGAAATGAGCAACGTCAAGCTCAAGGCTTGGCTCTGAGCGTGGCATTTGAACGAGACGCAGAAAATAGAATCTTCTCAGTGGATTTTGAAGAGAAGAACTGTGACCGCTCTCTGTCTGGCAATGAGACGCTTATTTGTCCGATGGCGACTTCAAGCACCACTCTGCGTCATGCCTCCAAACGGCTGAAAAGGAGCTACATCTGAAATGAGCCCCAACCCCAACACCACATCGCAGCAGGGGGGTGCAGCTGAGGGTAGCTCCTCATGGATAATTCAGTTCTGCTTTCCCTTGGTGGCAAGACACATGTCAAGTGGGGAAAGTGGGGAGCAGCAGCATCCAGAGGGCCCTAAGTCAGTGCAGAGGCAACAGCAGAGCTATTGTACATGGCAGACCGGAGAAGGATGAAAAGGTACAGGAAGAAAAGAGAGGACAGAGAAACGTGGAAGAGAAGTGGTAACTGTCATGACATGGCAGACTTCACAGTCAGTATCCTACCATCATGTTCCAGGCTGCTGTGCGGACACGGCTCTGTGTGGGTGTGCGTGCGTGCGTGCACACACAAGCTTACGTGTGTCTACATATGCATGTAGGGTAGGGGTTGAGAAGCTGGAAAGGAGATTTAATTACAGAAATCTCAGCCTTGCTTGTGACATTTTTACAACTTTCTATGCACTGTGGGTCAAACATTTACAAGAATGCCTTTTGCTTCTGGTAAAACCAACCACAGGAAGGGCAAGGAAGGATGTAGCGGTGGCAAAATGCAGAACCCACCATAGCCCTGAAGAGTGCAACGACAAAAACTGAAAGTCTGAGCTCCCCAAAATAAACTGTCTGTGTTTGAGGGTTGTAATAGCAAAAAGAGGAACTCTTGGTCTTGATTCTGCTATTACAGAGGGGTCTAAAAGCTGTAACTACAGCAAGTGGTCACATGCAAGTGTCAGGGAAGTGACTGAAGAGCCATGCTAGTCGTAGAAAAAAATAAGTCAGATCAAGTGTGAAACTGTAAGGAGCAGAGTAAAGAAATATTATGTAAATTAGGTCAGCGAAGCCGAGCACAAGGCCAAGCCACCAATAAGCCACCAAGACGTAGCAGAGCATAAGAGGGTGTTTAGAGAACGGAGCCAGAAAAGGAACCAGGCAACAATGGCTTTACTGAGGAGGGACCATGTTCACATCCTGCCCAGCCCACAGCGAGTGAAATGGCACATAGTGAAAGAGTTTGGGGGTCAAAGATCAGCTGTCCTGTGCCAAGCATCATAGCTTTTTGTTAAGAGAGAAGAGAGAAAGGCCCCACATTGCTTGGCCTTCCATTGCCCTGTTTTGATATGGGGCCTGACACGGCTGCAAAGCTGTTGTAAACAGATGCGCGTACTGCACTTCAGAAATGCAACAAGAGGAAATCAGTCATATTTGTAAAAAGATGGATATTTCTACAGCAAACAGAACCGCTCATGACATTTAATTCTACAGAACAGGAAGGGGCTCGGTAAATTGTTACCATGAGCCTTACGCCACCAAAACGCCCGCCATGGCTCAGGCCTACCGAGTCGCTAAGGGGCAGCCTCCCCGGCCTCCCCAGAACCTGAGCATGTTCCTGCAGGAGAAATTACTCCACACCTCAGCTAGCCCATACACCCTTCGCACAGACCTCTCTGGTAACATGACCCCAGCAGTCATTTCACATAGAGCTTTAGGCCTATATTCTTCTCTCAATAGCTTCTTAGCTGTGGTCACAAACCCAGTGAAGTCATTTAACGCAAACTGTACAAAGAAGATATAAAATACTAACATTTCAATTTTGCAGGCATTTACATTTTCGTTATAAAGTCATGCAAGGAATAGTCACACAACGTAAGGAGCTACAGATACTTTCTAAAAATTCTGTTATTATCATTGACGGGTGTCTTACGTACAGGACTACATACAGCACAAAGTAGAACATGGTCATCCATAACAACCTAATAAAAACAAGATTTACTTATTTAAATGTGTTGCAAGCATGCAAGCATAATTCAGTAACTGTTTTTCCACTTCTCACTTAAGAGAAATATTGCATAACACTAGTGTAACTATGGATTGTTTTCTTTTCTTTTTCTATTTTAATTCCTAATAACATTTAACAAGTATAATGCATGTAGAACACTCCCTTACCCCTGTTTATTTATTTTTAGCTAATAAAAAAAATTTGTTAATGTGTCCCTTACACGAAATATCAAATACTATAATTTCTGATATAATCAAGAACTAGTCTTTTCTCTTTTCATTAAAAAACCTTTCCAATATTCTTAATGCAACTGAAAAATAAAGAAACCATTTTTTATAACACCTGTTCTGAAAAATAAATATCCCATAAAATAAAAACAATCAGTGTAAATTCTATCTTTTCCAGTACAGAAGCAAAAGTGCTGAGAAAAAGCTCGGAGGCACTACAATGGAATTCAAAAGAGGGAAATAGTGAAAAAGTCCAATTACTCTTATTGTCTGAATAATTAATATCTCTAAAATTAAATTAATCTTTTCAATCCAGATTCACTCAATATTACAATTGAAGCTGCTAATTTTAAAATAGTATTAATAACTTGATTTATGATTTGATTAGTATAAATGAGCTGTTAATGTTAAAAAGAAGATAAAGCTAAGTGTACATTAATTGCTTTACTCTAAATCGTTATTTCACACAGAGTCTACCAAATCCTGCAGAATGCCTACTCGTACAGTGAGCCTGCTTCCTTGCCCTGCTGTAAGCATCACTCCAGATAAAATCACATTGTACACAATCATGAGCCAGAAGACACAAGAGGGGAAAACTTCCCTTTTTGATCAGACAGGTTTTGCATGGAGTTTAAGCAGGTAATGCTTTTCCAGGAGCAGTTACACAACAAGCAAGACATACCTGATGTGCCAGTATATAGATATTATGGCCAACATCTTTTGGGGAGATGCCATCATCTCCATTTTCCTCCTCATGGTCACATTCTAGACCTTGGTTATATGCATTCTTCATCACATCCACCTGTAACAGAAACCGAACCAAGGAGAGATGAAATAACTGTCATTTCGGGGGAAAAAAAGCAACCATCTTTGAACACATTCACTTTGTTTGGCTCAAGCCTGGCCAGTTGCCCTGCAGTTCTAAAAGAAGAGTGAGCAGTCTGAGAAACACTTTCTGAATAAGGAAAAGCTTGAAGTATTTATGAAGCTCCAAACTGCTACATTTCTCATCAGCAAAATTTCTGCACCCATGAGAAAGGAACAGGAACGCTGAGCCTTTGTAAGATGGTGTTTTCACAAATGCTTTTAAAGAAAGATCAACAGGTAGTGTCTTTCGGCACCTACAGTGCACACATAGTCTCCTTCTGGCTAGCGTAGGCTGCACCGTAACTACTCTGAGTTCTCCATTTGGCATAACAGAAAAAATATCTAAGCAAAAAAGGACAGGAAGGCACAGATCCATGCAAGGTGCTGTGATTACTCCAAAGTATTCAGAGCCTCTTACAGAATCAAGGGGGAAAATCTCCTTGGCTCACAAAGAGCCGGATCCTGTGGTGGTACCTTAAGGATGGCCTCGTCGTGCAGCGATGGCACCTTAGCGAAGGCACTCTGAATACACGCGGGAGTGAACAGCAGGCTGCTGGGCTCTGACCAGCTGCAGGGGACAAACCCCACAGATCTTCCCAGAAAATAGGTTTTCCAGTCACTGTTGCTACACGGTCACTTTGACTGGAAAAAAATTCTCCAGCCTTCCATTCCAGTCTAAATTCCTGGAGACCAATACAAATGCTACACTTGTTCCAAAATACAACAACAATTGTTTGTAACTCCTTTTTTTTTTGGTTCATAAGGCAAATACATATATATGCATATAAATGTGTGTGTGAGTGTGTGTGTGTGTGTGTGTGTGTGTGTACGTATGCACACACATATTCCTCATAGTACTGTTTCACAAACTGTACAAGCTTAATTTCCCAACTCCTGACAAAGTATACTTAAAGACAGTCTACCAGAGCATGACAATTTAGTCAGGAAACAATTACAGAAAAGTGCTTGGAATGGGTAAAAATAATGAAGTCGTAAAGACTGAAATCATGCATGCTTGATCCTTTTAAAGTACTTTTTGTGAATTAGTACTATCCTGATACATTGTGTCACTATATGCTGCCAACACTTTTCAGCTTAGACGCAGATCATTTTAAAATGTTTTAATGCCAGATTTTTTTCAGCCAGAAGATTTATGAATATTCAAAAGTTTTCTCACCAGTTCCCTTGGTCTCATGTTGAAAAGGATTCTTTCCGCATTCTCACTGTCATGCCTGCTTTCCATAATAGCCAGCAAAAGCTTGGAGGCATTGTTCTAGAGATACAAAGCCAAGTTAATGCAAATTTAAAATCTATTTCATGGATTAACGATCCTTGCATTTGTTTTAATTGAGATTAGGAGGACCACTTTTTTTTAGTGGATAAGATTTTAAACTGCTTGCATCTTTTGTTTTACTGATATATTTAATAGGGTTTTTTTCCATTTTAATGTCAGCATACTATAAGGCTAACTAACCATGCAAGCTATATTGGAAGGAGCATTTTAAACACTGAAAAATATTTGACTTAAATACAGGGCTTTGCTCTATATTGTGAACCAGAAATGAGATCCCATTTGCTTTTCTTATTGCCCACCTAGCAATTTTTGCCAGGGTATTTTGTTAAAACAATTCTTAAAAGAGGTAACTACAAACTGTATTACACAAAAGATTTCATCATTCAGGTAGGTTTCCTTCCCCCTTGTTTTATTGGTTATTATTGGAAGGATATAAAATAAACTGTTCTCATACATTCCTGGCTTTTGGTTTCACTACCAGCTATTCCTGGGGGAATGCATAAAGATATCCTTTACTTTGTCAACTGGCTGCTTTGCACTGAGATTTCTCTCAAGGATTAAATATCATGAGCTTTAGCAGCAGTAACCCAGTAGTGCCTTAGACTTTGGGGACCTGTCTTACTTCCAGTTAAATGAATGGTAGTAAACAGCAGAGGAAGAACAGTTTTGGAGGTTAAAGCACTGTAACAGGCCTCAGTGCACACCAGCTAAATCCCTAGCTCTGCCAGAAGCTTCCTGTGTGATTCTGGGTAAGTCGTCTAACTTCTCTGTAACTCAACACCTTTCTGAAGGAGTACAACAGCTAAATTTGCTCATCTTTTTAAACTGCTGAGACACCACGCTCATGTTCACCTCTTCGATGTGGCTTCCCAACTACTTCCCCCAGTGACTGCTTTCCAGCAGAGCATGTTTGCTTTGACTCACGTCTTGCCACCGGGCAGCATCCCCTCCTCCGCTGCCTTTTACGGACCCACCTGTTTGAATACCTGGAAGGAGAAGGCAGTCCCAGAGCAGGGATGGGGAATGGTAAAACACTAAAACCCATGACACAACCTTGTTCTCAGCTGCCTGTTGCCAGACTTCAGCATTTCAAGCTGAAATTTCTCACAGTGAGGGTGTGCCTCCGATGATTAATTTGGACAATTTTGGAGGAAAAGAGTTCAGCTGTTCTTGGGACTGTAGCAGAAAAAAAGGATGCCATTTTCTGCATGTTCCAAAAATGGCTGTTTTGAGCAGCTTTTGTATCGCCAAGTTTTGAAAGAAGAGCTGAAAATCTGGAGGGCTAGAGGCCAAGATAACACAGGCATACAAATTGTAGGCTCCAGGGAAATTCACCCAAACTCATAAGCATTTATTTAATTATTATTTGAATACAATACTGCAGAAACTTGCTAGAGCTTCACAGCTAAAAGCCCATGGACTTTCTTCTCAGTGGGCACAAAAATCACAAAATCATGCAGGTTAGAAGGGACCTCCCAGAGGCCTCCAGCTCGCCTTTGCCCTGCCCTTTCAGCAGTCTAACTCCCAGCTCAAAGCAGGTCCAGTGAGAGCGGTTGCTTTGGGCTGTGTCCAGTTAAGTCTTGAACACCTCCAAGGAAGGAGATCCTACAACCATTCAGGGCACCTGTTGCAGTGCTTGACCACTCTCATCAGAAAAAAAGTTAATCTAATTGGAATTTCCCATTTTCCAACTTGTATTCATCCTTCCACTGTGCACATTTGAGAAGAGCCTGGCTCCATCCTCTCTGCACTAACCCTTAGGTAGCTGCAGACAGCAATAAGGTATCCGTGCAGGCGTGTTTGAGCCTCTCCTCATACACTGTGGGCTCCAGCCCCTGACCAGCTTGACGGCCCTTAGCTGGACTCACTCCAGTATGTCAAAGTCTCTCCTGTACCAGAGAGCCCAAAACTGGACACGGTACTCCAGATGCAGTCTCACAAGTGCCACACGGAGTGGAATAATCACTTCCTTCAACCTGCTGGCTGAACTCTTGCAAATACAGCCCACGACACTCTTGGCCTTTCCAGCAAGGGTGCAATGCTGATTCATGTTCAACTTCTTGTCTACCAGGACTGCCATACTTTTTTCTACAAGCTAGTTCATCTTCAGCTAGTTAGTCCCCAACCTGCACTGTTGCATGGGGCTGTTTCATCCCAGATGTGGGACTTTGCACCTGCCTTTTTTCAGGTTCATGAAGTTCCCATAAAAGCCTTTTTCCAGCCTGTCCAGTTCCTTCTGCATAGCATGCTCCAGCACAAGGAGTAGCAGATACCCCCAAAAGTTTTCAGTCTGTACTTGCTCTTTTATACTTGCCTGGGCTCATGCAACATGGAGGAGAGCACTGCCTGCTTTGAAAGAGATTAAAGAGGAACTTGGGCAAAAGAGAGAGTGAACTGGAACAAAAGTTTATTGCAAGAAAATACGAAATGGGAGCAGCTGGAATGAGACTAGGAAAGGACCTGAAGGCAGGGAACCAAAAAGAAGAATTAGGAGGTATTTCAGACACCCTCACAGGGCTCATAGGAAACGCATACTCTCCTGGAGAAGCACCTGGACGCACGCCAAGATGCACACAGGTGATTCCAACAGTACTGTGTAGGCAACTGAATTGAGTCCAGCATATCTCATGAGGAGATGGAAAAGGAAACTGGAAGTGAGAATCAGAAAAATGTGTGAAAATGAGAAAAAGAAACCAGAATGCATGAGGGGACCTCAAAATAATCGTATTAAGAGAGTTGTATAGACAACTGAAGACTGCAGCATTACAAGTCAGCAGGGGAAAGAAGGGGAAGGCAGAAGGAGGATGGATGACCAGAATGAGTTTTCATACATGCCAGGAGAACTGGGACTTTCTCAGAGAGGAGATTGGGCATGGAGTGAGAAGATGGGAAAGAGGTGACTGCACTTGCCCACACAAGAAGAATGAGATAAGGACAAATGAAAAAGGGTAAGGAAGAAACCAGACTGGGACAGGCTGGAGGAGAAGGGGCCAGCATTATAATGATTAGAAGCTTCCATATGTTCTTTTTCCGCAGCGTCCCTTCTCTTTTGCTCTAGACTCAAATTGGGATTGTGCATTAGGGAAACAAAAGGTCTAGTCAGATCCTTTGCCTGTCAGCCCATAAGAGGTTGAACATGCACAGTGAATGAGGCAGAAGATCCAGTGGAGAGAAAAGATGGCGGTTTGGTTAACCCTACTAACAGGGTCCTGCTCTGAAGAACTGGATTCTTCTTTCTCTGCTGAAGAGTTCCCTTGCAATGATGAACAAGGCAGTTGTGATAGCACTGGCAGGATGTCAAAATGAGGAGGAGGGAAGGGGACAAGACAGGCTGCCAGGTAACTTGTGAAAGAAGGGGAGGTAAGAGCGGAGGAAGGCCCCAGTCTGCTCACTCATGGGTGAGGAGGAGTTTGAAACCGTTCCCAGTGCAGACAATGCTGCGGATGGAGAGAAACCTGCTGCAGCTCCCAGGAAGTGAGGAAAGGTAGAGGGAGGGTAGGACTTTGTGTTGTGAACAGCTACCTTCTTGTTACTGGCTCAGAAAAAGCGGCATGCCGTGGCCTGGAATTTCAGCAAGCTGTCACACTCCCATTTTTTGGCCCTAGAAAGGGAAGTTTCTGATTCTTAAGTCACTCTCTCCTTCCCCTTCACTAGCCCTTTGATCACTTGCACCTAACTTTGAAGTGCTCATCTAATTACTTGTTCCTCATCTTCTGGATGCTTTGAGACCCTGGGATATGATTCCACTCTCAAAGAGGAAATGAGAGCCATTAACTATAAAGACAGAGTTCTTCAAACACATTAGTACTGTGAAAAATCAGTTCCCAGGTGTTATAAAATGGATACCCTCAAGTACTTTTGACCTTCATTTTTCATTTCTCTTTGCCTGGGTTCCCATATCATCTCATAAGAATCTGGAGAAAAGAAATTCATGTTGATTGTGAAGCAACTGGAGAGAGCAGAGTAGGACTTCACATGAAAACGAGCAAAGACATTCATAATTTGCCTCTCCACTCTTTTCTATACAATTACATGAGCTACTAGATTGACAATGTCTCTTCACCCTGCCACTGTGCAGAGAGCAGATCCTGAGGTCATACTATGTGCCAGGGCTTGAATGCTGCCCAGAAAGGAAGGTCCGGGTCCACACTCCAAACAATAAAGGCAGAACAGAACATCAGTGAACACTGCCTATCCTGCTCACCAAAGGCAGAACAGAACATCGGCTGTTGCTCATTGAGTGAACACTGCCTATCCTGCTCACCAAATGATTCAGGAGTCCAGTGGAAAATATAATCCATGCAGATGTAATTAAATACCACATCACAAAGCATGTGCAAAACAAGCCAAATTAAGATGGCATGGGAAAATACAATTCTGCATTGCCTAGCTTTGGGAGGGGGGACAACTTCGACATATAACATTCCCTGAAAACAGTGTCTGGGCTTGTGCTTATAACTGTGTCGCCATACGCACTTTGTATTTTTTATTTTCAGTGCAAAATTAATTTACAAGTTAGTGAGTTTACAACTTCAGAATTGCCTGTGAACAATGACAGACTGACAATGTTAAATATTACCTGGTAAACTCAGTGCCATGTTATCTGGAAGTGTTGCCGCTCACAATAAAGACCAGTAACTTAGTAATGTGGATCTAATTCTTGAAATTAGAAGCAGGCTCCCAGTCTGAATCTTTGGTATCATTTACTACAACTTTTGCTATTTTAATAACAGTGATGCATATATAGAGTATCCTGCAAACTGGGCCAAACTAGTCCTGCAGTAACATCAATAAACTCCATTCTTGGGTATTGTATAGAAAAGTTATTTTACATACATCTGCTAGTTTCATGATTGGGCAAACTAAAATGGCTCTAGAATGAATGCAGTTAGATCTTTATAGGCTGGAATTTAAACTTCAAAAGAACTATCTGTGTGTTCAGAGCTAAGTGTTTGCTTAAATGTTTTGCTTGAGGGGGGCTTGAATTAAATGGTCACTCAAAAACGTAATTGCAGTATTAAAATCATGTATAAAACACTGTTGATACAATGTTTCATTGTACATGATATATAGCTGTATTAATTATTTTATTAGACATGCATAGTGTTACCAGTATGATGCAATGCAGCTACCACAAAGTATGTGCTGGTTTTGGAGAGGAAACAGACCATCTGTATTAGAAATGCTTCATTCTGAAGACAAGAAAAAGCAATAACCCAAGGCTCCTTCTGGACAAGTTCTATCCTACTTGGCACACAGTACAGCTGCAAGGCTCCCCTCCGCATGCAATGGCACTCTGACCAGAGAAACTTATCTAGGAGCCTACCCTACTCTCTAGAGAGTACAAAGCAAAACATGAGCCTTCCCACACTACACTTCCCCACGCACACAGACACAGGATACTTGAGGAGGGAAATAAAATACAATTTACCTTTACCTTGTTTTCCACTTTGACATTTTAATTGCAGGTCATCTGATATACTACTCTTTTTTTCACAACCTCTCCTTCTCAAGTCATTTTCTAGAGTGCACTCTATAGAGAGAATGCCTGACTTGTTACACTACCAGAACAGTGTAGCCATTTATCAATCCAGTATATTTTATGCCCAGAATATAGGCTCTTCATGCTAGATACATAATATCTACTTGATAGCATTCTTAAAAAAAGCTGAGGGCAATGCTCCCAGGCACAACAGTGGGTCAAACAGCCTGTGGCAAAGGGCCTGATGCTGATTCAGAAACTGAGCTGAATTCTTCTGCAACATTTGTTTTCCAAAGCTGCTGAGCATATTATGCTATGGTAAGATTAAGTAAATGTCAGGTTGCCTAGAGCTCTTGCATAGATATCTTTTCTACTATTAATTAAATATAAATTTAAAAATTTACATTTACTGTACCTTTAGCTGAAGCACCAAGTCCATGCAGTATTTGCCAAGAGGGTTTATGTCATTCAGGATGAGTGCAATTATAATATCAATGCCATTAGACTCATGAGTGGCTATGCAGGTCTATAAAATAAGATAAAAGAGAGGGTCAGGAGAAGGGGAGAGGGAGAGAGAGAGACAGAGAGAGAGACAGAGAGAGAGACAGAGACAGACAGAGACAGACAGAGACAGAGAGACAGAGAGACAGAGAGACAGAGAGGCATGTTAGCATATTTCCAAAACAAGGCTCTGGATCTTGAATGACCCTGTGATAGCAATGAACCTCCCAGCCAAAGCACAGCAGCCTGAAAACACGCCACAAGAGCGTGGGTCTATACTACACAAGGGTGAGCCTTGTGTAGTATAGAGCTAACCCCAACACTGCTAATAGTGAAGTACACAACTGGAGAAAAAGTGGTGCAGGCTAAAATATCCTTGCCATGAACCATGCAGGATTTGGCACCAAGTGGTTCAAGTCAGAGAGAGAAGGGCGAAATGGCGCTGCCAGATCCAAGGGACTGAAAAGGTCACTTTCAGCCACTTCTCTAACCGCTTGAGCTCTATTCAGCAATCAACATAATTGGATCAAGGTTTTCCACTTACACATATACGTAAAAGACACGCTTGAATGTAGGCACAACCAACTTTGCACACTTAAATTCTTAATTTGCACTCAGCAATCAGCATTAACATAGTTGTGTTATAGCATGCTTTGCTTGCAGAGATTATGGTTTTCACATGCATTTCTGCACACACGGACTTTTCTGAGCATAGATTTCAAAACTGAACTATGACCAACAGTACTTCCCAAATGCTTTTACAACTGCAGCTCTGGATCTTCTAAGCCATTAAAAAAAAAAAAAGCAAGCTAAATAAACCTAGGGATTTTTTTTCTAATAAGTTTACAAGACAATAGGGAAGGAAAAGTTTTCCAGAAAGATACAGAGAAAAAAAAAAGATAAAAATGCCAGCACGGAGAATTTGCCTCTGAAATACACCAATTCAGATTTGCAGTTGCTGTAAACAAGCATAACTCCAATCCTTAGTGACTTCCCAGCAGATCTAAGTAATTAGGTCTAAGTAATCAAGTATAAGTAATCATTTCCTTCCATTACCGTCACTCTTCTGTAAAGTTACAGAAGAAGCTATCTTGCAAACGTAGGCTTTTTTCCATCTCCACCCTGTAATTATCATTCTTTTTTTTACAAATGATTTTCCCCATTCATTAGCGGACTGAGCATGACTACTTAAAACATAGTTTACTAACAGATTTTTGTTTGTTTGTTTTTGAAGTATTTTAATAAGGCAGTTAATTAACAGCAACGGTAATAGAAGCACTTTGCATTTCATTTGTGGATCTTAATGAAGTAACATTAATACTTCATGTATTTCTTCAGCTATTTCTATTATCAAGAATAGATTGTGTCCTCCTAATTTTGCCCACTCCAGTTTTCCCACTGCTAATCCATAGTGAACACTCTGAAATTTCATCCGTTGTGACAACTTTACTACAGTTCTCTTCAAATCACGTATAGTAATATGTAACTATTTTCTTTAACCTTCTATACTGCCTCAGCATGGCACTAAAGACACACCTACCAAAAGCCACAATTATAGGCTTTTAACAGCCTGCATCAAGTAAGGCACAGAAACATATATTGGATTAGAAGCACGGTCTGTAGTCTCATTCACTACTGCTATCATAATTCAAGATCTTGACAGGTAGTACAGTAGGACAGCTTGTTAAACTTTGTGGCATTTATATGAAATAAGGAAAGTACATGTTAGTGACTTGTATAAAGACCATCGAAAGCAAGAGGCATGAAAAAGGAGACAGCAAGACTGCGTTTGCAATGTACTTCCACAATTGTGATTGGAAATCCAGAGACTCACAGGCTTAAACCATGACCCACTGAAATCAGACATAATACTCTCTCCAAAAGGATCAGAAAGCCTGTACTTAAGCTGACATGTACTATAGAAAGAGACAAGTTTGAGTTTTGACTTGAAAGGATTTCTCAGGCCTTATAAAGGCTCAAAATGTGCTGAGTTCAGTCATAGCAATTACAAGAGAGTTTATGTTATTAACAACATGAAAGGGTTTATGATGTCCACACATATACGATAAGCTCAGGGAGATTCTTCTGGATCCAGAAGCTATTTGAGCCCTACCTGATTTTCATGGCATGGACCTTGGCAATATTCAGTCAAGCTTTCCAGAGTCTGGTTCACAAGAGCCACATTCCTCTCATTGATGTAAAGTCCCAGTAAGCCCAGTCCACCTGTTGTACTTCCACAGATACAGTCCAAAAACTGAAGGGTCTCACAAACAAGGTTGTAATTTGTTTTGTTGTTCTGATGTCTTAAAAAATTCTAGTGGATGGGGAAAAGGAATGCAAAAAAAAAAAGTGAGTTAAAGTCAAATATACAGTCTTTTTCATGAATATATTAATGGATAATTTACAGTCACATCATTGCTGAATCTTAGGTACTGAAGCACACACTACACTACAGAAAATAGATGCCACTGCAGCAGTTGAGAACTGCTATCTGATTAAATCAGTAGAGGGAGGAGAGCTTATACATGTGAACTTTGCAAACATCTGCACTGGCCTCAGATGTCCTCTGTATGTCCTGCATATGGGCCTCCATCCATCTTTTAAGAAAACTCCCTTCTCTTTGGAGTTGTTTTCCTCCCAGCTGAGAAGGTACAATGGCACATTATGACTAGTCCTTTGATGTGGCACTATCTTAGCTCAAACCACTCCCCACGCTGGTTTAAGGAAGGCTGCAGGACACTGCGCTGAGGCATATTTGCAAAAAATTCATATTGGAAAGGCTGCTACATGAGCAGTAATTTCTACCAGAAGAACTGATAGTAGGGACATATGCAGCATCTTAAAGCCTTTGGTCATAATACCTAGGGAAAAGAGTAGTACCCTAACTTTGTCCAGAAACTTTCTGTGGTCTTCAAGGCTGTGGTAAGCGATCCATCATTTTTGCACAGAAACCATACTAACAGTAATATTTATAAACTTCTCAATTCTCTGTGGCTATGCTGCAGTTCCCTGGCAGTTCTGAGAGCATAAACATAAGCTCAAACAGAGCATGAAAACGCGCCTTGAAAACGGCTATTTTATCCTTTGGATCAAAAGAAGAACGTTAGACACCCCGATTCTGTAATGGGAGCCAGACAAAGGCATGTTTTTCTTCTCTCATGAAGTTCAGGCAACATGGGGCTCAAGAAATACTCCTTTGGTAGGATTACTTTGAGCTCAGCTCAGTAACACTCTACCTGGAGCTCTCGGTTGTGGTTCTCGCACAGCAGCTGAAGAAATCTCAATATTGGCTGCATGATTGTGATAGCAGGGCTCATTATCGCTTCTTCTGTGGACTTCTCTTCTGCATTTGCAGCATCTGTTCCTGAGCCCATAAGATCTATTTCTGGGTCCATTTCTCTCCTGTACACAGAGTAAGCCTTGGACGTCGCAGAAGATGCTTCTGTTAATTGCCCTTTCATACCCTCTTTCAGATGCAGTGTTGAATCCTTTACTGAAAATAAAGATAATTTTCCTTCGTTTTTCTAAATGTTTCTTCTTGTTTGATTAAATAAAAAGAAAAGAATAATCATGAATGCAACTTTTTCTTTTTTGGTGCTTAACTTTTCAGAGACCTCTAGGCAACTTACAAAGAATTATCAAGGCAACATTCATGCAGGGATAGCATGTTCTGAATAAACCACAAACCAGACTGAAGCAGAATATTAACACAAAAAGCCCTACTATTTCTCTTCCATATGCAATAAATGACGAGAACAATGGAAGGACCGCAGGGTGGGAAATCGGTTCCTGTTATTGCTCTTGTGAAATAGCCCCAATAGCAGCAGCCTTTACTTCTGCTTCTCTAAAAATACACGTCTGTATCTTCTACTAGTGTAAACCGGCATAGCTTCACCGACTTCATCAAAGCTAATCTGATGTAGACATCTTAAGATATGGCCTATATTTTAGAGAAAAATAGGCAAGTGATGCAAATTAGACATGATTAACAATAAGACTTATTGATCAATGCCGCATAGTATCAGTGGTGCCATACACTGTTTGTCTACAATGCACTTCCTCTTCTCTCTTTTACAGGGGATCCTCCTTACCTCTCTTTTTGGGAACAGATACAGTTAGGTCACTATCATCATCTTTCTTTTTGCTCCCCAAATCAATGGTATTAACTGTAACTGTTGATCGTATCTCCTGCTGAGCAGCTTTCATGCGGTCATACAGGACTTTAAAGAATTTTTCTGACTTTTTTTGTTCCTTCAATTGCTGGTAAGTCGAATACTGCAAGAAAATATACTCTTTAGATATCTGTGTTCTAAGGAAAAAGAAATACAGAAATACACTCTTTCTGTGAAAAAAGTAAATACTTCATTTACACAAAACAAACAGTGGCCACTGCCTGACCAGTTCTTTCACAAAGTGATATACAGGGCTGGTAACAAAGATTGATAATAACATTTTAAAATGTGGAGAAAATGATGAACATCAGTGATATTTTTAGCAGCACTCTATTTGTAGTCTTTAAGATGTCACAACATTACATTTTGAAGTTAAATTATTTTGTGACACTCTCCATTTACCTAGTCATTCTAGAATTATAATATTCCATCTATGAGTAATTGTGAAAATGTTGTAAAAACAACAAGAAGCAAAAAACTTCAATGTATATATGTAATATGATAGTTTAGATTATAATGCATTCTTTGTGCTTTACAAACACATAAATAGAATTAATATCTTTGGTGATTAAGTCCAGTCACCTAGTATTACTGTCAAGCAGGTCGAGAACCATTTTCATCAGTTTACAGCTCTATCTTACAAGTAAAGGCCTTTTATGACCCCCAACAATTAATTTTAGAAAGCTGCAACAAAAATTCACTTCTTTAACATTTTCTTTGTCAAACATTATTTCTCAAACAGACAGCAAATTTAAAATGGATACATTCTAAGGGTGACAGATTGTATTCTCTCTTTTACAGAATAAAGATAAAAAATGGGATTCCTCTCATTTAACTTTTATAGTCTAGAAATGAGGTATAAGTTGGTTATCTAGGCTCCCTTCACAGGCAAGGATGAGATATGGGGACCTGCAGGGAGTGATTCATACTCTCTCCCCTCTCTTATGACATCTCTGCTGACCATAAAGAAAGAATAAACAATCACCTTATTTGGCTAAATGAAGGTAAGAGGAGTATCATTCATAAAAAACAGAATCCACAGTTTAAAACAGTTATACCATTCTGTAACTACAGAATGGGCTACCAGTCTTCTCAAACAGCCAGTTTTTCTCTCTTTGGAGATTTTGATAAATCTCCCTAAACTTCTTCCAGAAAATAACTTAATTTTTCTGCTATTGTAAACCTGAGGATGCTGCAGCTTTTAAATTTACAAAAAGAAACATGAAATAACTGGAGATAATATTGGTATGGCAAAGAACAGATTAAAAAATGTACTTGACTACATAAAACGGGACAGTTGAGAAGTGTTTTCTCCTACCGAAGAGTTTACAGTAAGAGATACTGCATGATAACAAGGCATATTTACATTTGTATTATAGTCATACACTGTGTGATGGGAGAAAGTTTTCACAGAACTTACTGCAAAAAAGTTCTTCCCACTTGTCTCCAGACTACATGCATTTGAAAAGCAATATGTGAATAAGTAAATTAAACAAGTACCTGTGTTTGTGTATTTCCACCTTCGAGCAAGGCAATACCAAGTAAAATGCCTTCTGAGAAGATTCTGTCATTTTTGGTGTTTACTATAACATCTATGACTAGTTCTGATGCCCCTTCTTTATCCAGAAGGCACTGAATATCAAACATGGATACCCCAGACTTATCTGAGTCTTGTCCTGAAAATCCACCTGCAAATTAGACAAACACATACCATTCATGTTTGTTTTACACAGGTAATATATATATATAAAAACAAAGACATTAATAATCTGTCTTATGTGCACAGATGCTACATAATGAATTTAATCTTGAAATTTTGGTTGAGGAAAAATTCTCCGTGATTGAGGCTGCAATGCTGAGCTCTGACAATAAGAAATAAAAAAAAAATCATAAATCATTGCTCTATTATGATATTCGGACAATAATGAATATGGAAATTATAATAGTTTGTCCACAGAATCACTTTTTAATTCCACTATTGCATACACTAAAACCTGATACCACTTTTGAAGAAACTGGATGTGTTTGTCTTACATCTTTATACTTTGTAGAAATGGAGTGAAAGATCTGGTGATGGGTACGACCTCACTAAATGCTTTTGCCAATACAATTCCCAGTCTATTAGCATCAGGATGACATTCTTTAAGAACAGAGACTTAAGTTAATCTAAATTAATCAAGGTAGGATTTTAAGAGAATTTGTAAAATTGTATTAAATCATCAACTGATCGCATTTTATTATTCCAGATTATCATCTTTCCTGCTATAATCACTTTTAAACTACTTCATGAAGAAAAGTATGGTACTGCTTTAATCAAAGCAGTACTGTCAAAACGTTTCAAATTGTGTGCATAAGGGCGCCATACATGTATAAATACTTCATACAGAGAGAAGCAAGAAATATTAAATCTTTACCCTTCTGTTTGCTTGGGAGCAAAATTTGGTGTACAGGACATTCAGACTGTAAACATTTCTGAAGCGTCAACACTGAAATAGCTAAGTAGGAACAACTGGATAACATTTGGAAATGCCCACAAATTTGGGTACGCCTTCAATATATGCTGAAAATATAATGGCAAGCTATATTGTGAACTGGCTCTATACTCTGCTTTTTCCTCGTTCCTTACTGCACACATTATTTTGTGGTTTTTGGAGATGTCCCTATATTAACTTCCTATGGCTTCTGTAATAGAATCACAGAAAAATTTTTGTTATAAGGGACCTCTAGAGATCATCTAGCCAAACTTTGTGCTCACAGTGCCTCTAACTTAAAAGCTAGCTACAGCAGGTTGCTCGGAGTCTTGTCCAGTAAAGTTTTGAATAACTCCAAGAATGGACATCCTACAGCCTGCCTGGAAATCTCTGTCAATGCTTAGCCGCTCTCATTGGGAAAGGTTTTCCTTGTATCTACTTTTTTACATATATCAATAAAGGAACTGGAATTTCAAAAAGCCAGTTTCCAGAAACAGCAACACCTTTGTTAAGAAGTTCCATGCTTTGCTGAATTTCCAGACACGGATTTACCGGCAAATTAAAATTGTATTACCAGTTTCAATTGAACCGAATTAATTTGGGAGGTTGCAGGGGGGAGGTCCCTACTTCAGTGCTGCCACATGCACATCAGTCATCTGAGATAGGTGCAGGCAACTTAAGAAAGGAAAAGTCCGATACTACTTCTCTTCTACCAGGTTACAGAACTTGTTTGATTTATTCACCAACTAAATCCCTTGAACGCTTCTGATGCGCCTATTAGAAAAAATGGTGATACTCATTTTGTTTTTCTTAAATGATCTTTGTTCATTTACCTCCCACTTGCGTAGTTTTGCTGTAGCTACCAGACAGAGGCCCATTCATACCACTTCCATAGTCTCCTTTAAAGTAGCGATACAGGAGTATTTTCCTTAAAGTGTTGCCCTTTAGGAGAAAAATAAAAATAGAAGAAATTACAGTAGTGGCCAATTTCCTTCTTCGTAAAAGCAAGCTGTTTAACATAGATACATGATTTATTAGTTTTTTCTGTTATAATTAGTAAGCATATAAATAGTAAAGTTGTCCGGAAAGTAAACTTTATAATAGTCTTATCTAACAAATCTCACAGAAAGAATTCTAAAATAGTGTTCCATAAACTTACTTTGAAGTTTATTTTAAACTTATTGATTATAAATTAAATACTTCTACCTCAATATTTTTTACTGGCTATCTGTAAGGTGCATATTTTGCAACAAGTTCCACAAAGAACCAGTCCTTGCAGTCTGTGTGTCTGTGCCCTACCCACCCATGGTGGTACTTTCTTCCTATTTCCTGTGGCTGAGAAGTATCACTCCCTGTGCTCTGATCTCATATAATCCAGCTGATCATCTGAAAGAAGTCACATCACATGAAATATTAAAACAGAGATATGACATTTGATAGAACAGCTTAAAAAGCATTCTGTTTCTCCTTGTTCCTCTACTTCCAAAACCACAACCAATCAAAACTGCATGCAACTCTCTGAAGATCTTCCCTTTCATTTTGCATATTTTCTGCAACACAACACACACTGAATTAAGAGTGGGGGGTACCAATTACTTGGCATTTTTATCTTCCCTTCAAGTCCCCTGGAAACACTTGCAGTCAACGCTCAGCTTTACAGAGGCCGTAGGTGACACAACAATTGCAGGTGTAGATGTAATCTAATATTTTAGAAAGAAAAACATAAGGCAAGGTCTCTGATGAGTCCTGTCAAAATGGAAACATTTTTCATTCCAGCCAGCAGGGGAAAAGTGGAAATGAAATTTCTTCTTCCTTACTTTTACTTATTCACTGGTTTTAATGAAAACCAGTTCTTAAAAATATGTGCACCACAAGCATTCTCAGTTCTTACCAGCTTTCCAGTGCCTGCACATTAGTGCAGAGGTCAACTTTACAATCAATACATCTCTGTGACCACCACAGTCACTGGGGAAGCAATTCCCAGAAATGCCTCAAGAAGAGCTACCCACGTTCAAACTTCTCTGTTTTATCTTAGCACTATTTCCCAGAGCAACCACAGGTTGCAGCGGGACTTCACTGCTTCATGTATCTCAAGAACAAGAGGCTTGTCAGTGTCAAACAAGTGCCAGAATGCAAGGCTCTGCATAGGGAGTCAGTCAGTGCAAAACAGTCGTTCCTTCCTAGTTCTTGTTTTTTGATGTTCTCATTCAGTAACAGTCTACAAAGAGTTCCCTCAGTCAGCCAGGAACACTGCAAGACCTACAGTAAAATATCAAAAGCCATGAATGTAATGGCTGCAAGAAAAACACAAAGCATCACTTGCTGTCCTACATGTATGTAGGGAGTGCACATCCTACATGCCAGGGAATTTATTAGGTGAAATTCCCAGGTAAGCTTAAGAAGCCAACTGTGCTCTACGCTACAGAGGAAGACAAAAGAAACCCCAAAGTCTCCAAGAACATCAGATACTGAAAGATTCCTTCCCAGGCTAGATTGGTGATGGGGTTTAGCCCTGCACACTTGGACAAGATGCACTAGCCAAGCTCACAAGAGATTTCAAGATCACGAAGCATGCCAACTCCCCTTGCTCAAGATCCTGTCTGTAGATCTGACCAATCTTCAGTGCCTTACAGGAAAGTGAACTTCATTCTCCTCATCTCCTAAAGAAACCAAACGTATTACTGAGGAGGAATAAGTTCCCACCAGAACTCTGAAACATGGACTAAGAACAACGATAAGTCCCTTCGGCATATAAATAAATTCGATACTCAAGGTCTCATATCACAGAATCACATCACACAAGCACGGTCATAGGGCAGAAACCCTTTGCAGCACCAGACTAAGAGCTGGTCCAGAATGGGTACTGCACTGAGACTCTTTTAATAAGAAAGCCTGGCATTTGCCATACCACTTGATTAACCACCCAGCTTGAGGCAACATCATAGACCAGCAACCTATGCAGTCTACTGATGACTAACAGAGCACCATGGTAAGTTATATAAATATAAATATAAATATAAATATATATATATATATATATGTACACACACATATATATATATAAAAATAAAAAATATATCACAGTGCAGTCATGGGGGAAAAAAACCCAAAAGCCATTTATATGTAGTTAAAAATAATACCCATGGTAACAAGTTTTATTGTTCTATTAAAACAGCCTCTTTTTTATGATGAAGAATGTTTAATCCCAAGAAACAGCATTTGACTAATAACGTGAATGACTTAGCGCTTTGGTTCTGTTGTCTGGAAAGGAGTAACTGTTGGCACCTCCTCAGATCGTTTTTCCTGCCTCATCACCTTCAAAGATATCAGGCGGGCAGGGATATGAGGATACTTCTCAAGTCGGCTGTGTAAAGAAGAGTTTTGCTCTACCCATACTAGAGCTAAGTCCCAGACTTCACTTCTTGCCCCTACCAGCAAGCCTTAATTATTAGGAATCCTGCTCTGTCTCACTCCCTTCCTCTCTCTCAGCCTCCCACAAATCGAGACAGCGCTTACAGTCCTCAGAAGCCAAAGTGTCAAAAGTCAAGGACATTGTGTTTGAAAAGTGGGAATGCTGAGGAATTTCTGCTTTGCCTGACAATCATTTCAAAAATGTAGCCTCAGACTCAGCCCATATGTTTGCAGGCTTGGGTTCTTCAGCCCCTTCATGATGACCTTGGGCAGTCATATGATTTCCCTAGGTCACTTAGCTTCTTGTGAAACTAGTTGCCACCACAAAGACTAGAAACTGTTTCTCCGCAGCCTGGCAATTTTAACTAGACTGAGGAATGCAGAGATGCTTGCACAAGGCTTCAGGAATGCATCAGCCCCCAGTGCACAACTCTGTGAGACACCATGTCAGAAAATGCTGGGAAGACCCCACTCCCAGAAAGGATTCAGCTGATCCTGCTGGCAGGGATGACTGCGTACGCTTTTATAGGCATGCCAAAAACCATCAGTCAAGACAACCCCATCATGTGGATGCAGCAAACTGCTGCCAGGGCAAGTGAGACAGTCGTGCCATTGACGTTCTTGTAAAAGGTTTCCTTACTTAGCACAGCCACAAAATTAATATTGCCCAAAAGCAAATAATCACAGCAGTAGTCTGAATAAGCAGTTTGCAGCAACTATTACTGGTGCTCATAGTACTGGAGCAGAGGCCAAAAATAAAAGCACACTAGGCAGTACAGTGATATCTTCCCTCAACTGTTTCTTCATGCAGCAGAAGTCCCGACCTTCCATGCTGAATTCCTCCCCTGCTGGCTACAATGAACTTTCTTTTATAGCTCTTATTAGGGTATGGAAGTGGTATGTAAACATCACGCAGCTGACTGCAATCCTTCTATAATGGCTAGAACAGAGTATAGCTTTGAAAAAACACAATGAAACATAACAGTCTTATTGTTATCCATGAATACCGCTGTATTGTCTCTAACAAAAGCTAGGATAAAGGCTGAGAACACAAGAAAGCAACAACAGGTTATTGTTGTTGCAGTTTTAAATAGCCAGGGATTGACTGACAACAGTTTCCAATAGGGAAAATTATTTCAATAGGAACATGCAGGCACAAACAAATTACGTTTTTCTCAGTCCATATTTAATTACACTGGTTGGTCTTTAAACTTGATTGAAAATGCCTTAATACAATAGGTGATTCACTTTCCTTCTTTGAGACTGCAAAATGCTGGCTCCACATAAGGTTGGGGTATTCCATACTGGGAAACAATGGCTTTATCATGGATACCTGCCTCAGCACGAGCTCACTGTATAACAGTGCCAAAACTATTTGTCCTGCCACATTAGAAGGAAATTGCACAATATTCAACAGCCTATGATGTTCAGAAGATCTGGTAATCTCTTCCAGTGTTCAGTTACATTAAAACTTTGAGGTACAAATGTTCAAATTATCAGTGATAACTCAGAAAAGGCAGCCACGTCCCATAAATATTTCTGTCACACAGTAGATGATGTATTCATCTCGTACAATGAAATACTTTATATTCCAAAGTAATCCAGGTGGATGCACGCAAGTTAGGCATTTTAAATCTTCAGATTTGTATGCCTTGCAGCCAAGAATTATAGAGGAGCTGGATGGGATCTCTGGGCTACTAATGTGGATTTTCAGTAGGTTTGGAACAGAAACAAAATCCCAGAGAACTGGAAGAAATCTAATGTGCAATGACATTCTTAAAAAAGTAAATGGGATGACCTAGGTAAGTATAAGCTGTAAGCTTGATATAAATTCTGGGCAAAATAAAGGAATGGCTGGGTTTGAGCTCCATTAAAATACAATTAAAGGAAGCTAATAAAAACAATGACAGCTATAATAGTGGCATCATGCCATCACAAATGCCTCAGTGTGAGTTTCTCAGTATGAGAAAGACAGATCCTCTCATACTTCAGATGATATCTTCTCTGTTTCTGTTGCTGATGAAAATATCACTCTGATTGGTAAAGTCTAATAAAGTGATGGTGTGACACATTCCTAGAAGGCAAAAGTTTTGATAGGGAAACTACAGTGCTATAACTCAGCAATGATAATTATTAAATGGATTAAAAGCTAAGTAACCAACGGCATTCAATGTGCAACTTCAAGCAAGAATCGTAAATGAGTGCATGTGCTTCTAATGGGCAAAAAAATGTCTGCCTGACATTTTTTTAAAGATGTGGAAGAATATAGAAAATAATTATTAACAGCATCTACAAAGGACACAAAAAGAATAGGGATGAGGTCAAGTCAACGATATATAATTTAGGCATCGTTTATTAAACTGATTAGAAGGAAACAACATGAGTTCAGACCTCTGTATGTCTAGTTAGCCAAGTAATAACAATAAAATGCGAAACACCACAAAATGGAGGATCTTTGTGTTAGGAGGCAGTGACTCTGTGGAAGAACTGAAGGTCTTAGAGAAAAATCAGCAGAACAAGAGCTCCCAAGG